TATACACAAAGAAAGAGAATAAACAGTCCGATACACAAAACGACGGCCAAATGTGTCAATCAACCACGTGGTAAGCGCAAGAAGCCCAAAAAATGGGTCAAACCGGGCCCCGTCACAAATAATGCTTATCTGAACTTCGTGCGTACGATTCGCCGTAAATATTGCGGTCTGCAGCCTAAACAGCTAGTAATACTCGCGGCATATGAGTGGAGGAATCTGAGCGACTCTAAGAAAGAAAAATATCGTCGTCAGGCAAGGCAGCATTACTTACTATAAATTTACATATACATCTGAAAACATTTAACCATAATCTTACCTCTTCCTCTTCCTCCACATATAGGCTTACGAGATCAGTGCCATGGAACGCGAAAAACGCCAAACCAATTACAAAAGGCAGCGACGCACTCATTGCCACTGTTAGCGCAACGTCTTCTGTTTCCATTTTAAAAGTGCGAAATTTCCAAATTTTCAGTGTACTTGTCTCAATTGGGCTTACAAATAAAAAGAAAAACATTTCAGAATAATTTTTTTTTTCTTTTCAAATTACGGTATTTCAGTTAGGCATTTGAGGGAGAATTGGCTCTTTCTGCCTGCCTTTCACTCATTAAATCCATGTACATTTTGTTGATCATATAGATTGCTTGCAAGTACTATACGGTACGGTGGTAGTGATTTATTTGTTTTTTATTACAAAATCAAGATTTTTTAAAATAATATTTTAAAGTGAAATTTACAAATTTTCAGTAGTCAAAAAATAAGTTGTATTAAAACCATATAAACTATCAATATACCATTTTTAGAGCTTCCTTAGTCATAAATATTTTTAAAATTTTAATTGGTCAATAAATAAAGTTTCATAAAAACTATATCAACTGACCATATTCCATAATTAGAGCTTTGGTCTTAGAGTTAATACATGTTTATATCCGGTTTTATTACAATAGTTTTGAATTGTTTCAAGTTTTCCAACGTTGGGTGGTCATAATCTTAGCGAGGAAGGAGCTAAATGCCAAGAGTTGAGCATTAAGTATATTTAAGTTTTAGTATTTGTATTTGTAAGCAAGGGTAATCTGATTGCCTACTATTCAAATAGCTTATCTTAGAGATAGGTTATTGCATTTAATACTTGATTGAGCGCTGTTATGATAATCAAGCAATAAACACCTAACCTACGACGATCTGCATCAATCTATTCTCATATCTCTATACATTATCTCTTTCTATTAGTTAGTCTTTGCTATCAGTAGAGTAATATATAAAAATTGTGGCATTTTTCAATATTTGCTTCGTTTTCTCTCATATCAGTTAGAGATTGGCTCGTAGAACTTTTCAAAGAGCTATTAATTTCAAATTTATGTGAACTATTAAAATATATTCCGACAATAAATATTTCAATCTCTCAATAGGCACGTATAGCTCTCACTCTTCTGATTTAGCAAATTAAAAATAAAATGTTGAGTAAACTGCAAGACCTACATAAATGCCTACATGAAACCAGATATATGCATACATGGATAAATAGGTACATAGACACACAGATACGTAGATCCATGGATACATAGAGAAAAAGATACATAAGTAGATATATCCACAGATATATAGACATATCGATAAATATAGATATGGATATAGATATATGACACATACGTAGATACATATATGTATATACCGACAGATATGTATATACGATCCATAGATTAAATACATGCAAGCACTGAGCAACAGCAGGATAGAGCACTCTTCATAGATAGATACAGGTATATATGGAGGTACCGTCATAGATATGTATAATGATACAAATATTATGTAGTCGAACAAATTATATTTTTGCTTTATTGAAGTTAACATTTAGCTGAAGTTCATTTCAAATTAGCTGAGCTACTTCACAAGCATAATTCTCTTTCATTTGCTCAGCAGACTTTTCTAGGCCTAAAGTATTCGCCACTATAGGCGTGCTTCTTTATTATACGTGATACGGACGTAAGTTATTTAATGCAAAGTATATTAAAGCTTCAAGCGAACATAGTTTTTTGAAATATAAATGCTATAGCTGAAGATTTGATGGGGCGCTTTAAGGCTTGCAGCGATCGAGGAAACGAGGATAAAGGCAAACGTCACGGATGTGATAGCGGTTGAGCAGCCAGCAGAGGAAGCGCTCCAGACCCAGGCCGTAGCCACCGTGGGGCATGGTGCCGTAGACCCGCTGGTCTGTGTACCAGTAGTATGGCGCGGGATCGATGCCCTCGCGCGCATAGGCCTTCAATATTTCGTCGTTATCGAAGATCCTCATCGAACCGCCAACAATTTCACCCACATTGGGCAACAGTACATCGACGCTTTCGGTGAGCCGTTGGTCGTCCTGGCAGCGTGACATATAAAACGATTTGATCTCAGCTGGGAATCTGATCAACAGAATCGGCTCGTTGATGGTGTCCGTCATCTTGCGTTCGGGCGCCTCGGGTATATCCTCGCCAAACTCGTAGAAGGTGCCATCCTCCTTGGGCACATTGTTCTCTTTCAGCCATTTGATGGCGTCCACGTATTCCATGCGCTTGAATGGCTTCGTTGGTGGCTTAAAATCAGGATTGAGCTCCTTCACTATGTAGCCCCACGGCGACTTCAAAATGCGATCCACCACATCACAGATCAAGTCCTCGATGCGATCCAGCAAATCTTCAAAGGTCAAGAAAGGACACTCGGCCTCAATGTGCGTATACTCGGCCAGATGACGACGCGTGCGACTCTGCTCAGCGCGATAGCTTTGTGCAATGGTAAACACATCGCCTAGGGCCGGCAGGCAGGTCTCCAAGTACAGCTGCGAGCTCTGGGTGAGGTAGGCCTCTTCGCCGAAATACTGCATCTTGAACAGCGTGGAGCCGCCCTCGACCTGGGTCTGGACAAGCGTGGGCGGCGTTACCTCGTTGTAGCCGCGATCTAAGTAATGCGCACGGAACGCCTGCATCACCACGGAGCGCATCTTGAGCACCTTCGAGGTGTTCTCGCCACGAATCATGATGTGCCTGTTATCCAGCTGGACATCGGGATGCGCCTCCTCGTTGAGTATGGCATCGGCGCCGCCCGGTGGTGCCAGGCCAATAAGCTCCCAATAATCCACAATCAGCTCATGTCCACCCGGAGCTGTCTTGCCTTCCGGCACCACTTTCAAGGTGCCGTAGAGCACCACGGTGCTCTCGGTGCTCAGCACCAGCGCTTCGTACGTCTGGCAAAGCAGATCATTCAAGACGCACTGCAGGAAGCCGCTGCCGTCGCGCAACGTGATGAAGATTAGGGATTTTCCCTGCCGGCGCAATCGATGCACCCAGCCGTAGATTTTGACACGTGCATTGCGGTAATCGGCACCCTTTTCGATGCGTATCCTTTGGGCTGCCGGCAAGCTGGCGTCTTCACTGATCTTCACCTTGCGCGCCTCCTCCAGATTCTGGGCACGCTTCTCAGCATCCACGGCCTCGCGCTGTAGCTTATCGGCATTCTTCTGGCTCTCGCGCACAAATATCTTTTGGAGTTTCTTCAGCTGTGACTTGGCTGCCGGTTCGTAAAGCTGGCTGGCCTTTGGATCCTTGCTATCCACATAGATTGTGGGGAAGGGCTCCTTAGCAGCATGACGCATTGCTTGCAAAATTGTTTTATAGGGATTTGTCTCGCTGCCATCGCCTGACTCATCGCTTCCACGCTTTTCCGATGTAAAAAGCGCACCTAAAATTACCAGTACATGAATAAAATGCACAAATATTAAGAACTTATATCGGCAAATACACAAACACATAAGCAAATGTACACAGAACTACATACATACATACACATGTATTGGCAACGTGGACGACCTAAAATGCCGCATACACATTTATTGTTCGCTAACTTGAATACTTACTCATGGTTAGATCAGCCATTTGTTCCGTAGGCATTTTGCTTGAATTATGACAAATATTTTTCCAAGTAACAATTTTATAAGCTCACAGCTTGCTTAGAAAAACTGCACTAAAATTGCATCAGCTTATATGTTGCACACAGAAAGAAGAATGTTGGTATATTAAGGCAATGGGACTTTTTTTAACAGTGTGGCATAACATTTTCCCTAATATGCACTGATATTAACAGACAGCATGAATTTCTGGTCTAATAAAAAACACTAGACTAAACATATGCTATGATTATATAAATTATATTATTTAATTTTAATAGTTAATTACTTCAACTAGTCTCAAATTAATGTTATTATTAATAACATTAACAATATTTAAACAGCTGTTTCGATTAATACCATATATCGACTAGTCGATTAATACCATTTTGAGCAACAAACGTAAACATCCAGGAAAAAGTAAATACAATTTTTGCAATGCCCGTTGAAAATAAGTATGCATACAAAACAGCTAGACAATAATTAATACTTTACACAAAACTGTAATTTATTTAATTTCAGCGTAAAAATATTGCCCAAATCGGTGGTATGCGAGGAGAGTACACTACGTGGTGACATCACCTTTTCCGCTGGCTGCGTTGTCCATCCCAGTGCAACGATTATTGCCGAAGCTGGTCCAATTATCATTGGCGAAAATTGTATTGTGGAAGAGTATGCAACCATTGCACATCGTTTGGCAGACGGCGCCAGCTATGATACCAATAATATTCTGAGCATCGGCAGTCACAATGTGTTTGAAGTGGGCTGCACTGTGGAGGCGGCACGGATCGGCGACAAGAATGTATTTGAAAGCAAGAGTTTTGTGGGCCGTGGAGTGACAGTGTCCAGTGGCTGTGTAATTGGCGCTGGCATTCAAATGCGCACCGCTCAGTTGATGCCCGAAAACACCATTGTATATGGCCAGCAGGCGCTTCAACGCGAGGCCATCGAGAAACAGGGCTCGCAAACATTGCAGATCGACTTCCTAAGGAAGGTGCTGCCCAACTATCATCACCTGCGCAAGCCAAACTATGATCCGAAGAAAGCACGCAGTGTTATCTAGATCAAAAGTAAAGACTCATTTCCATAGGCTAGCATATATGTATACGTATAATATATTAATTTATCTCTACAACTGTGGCATTAAACGTATTCATCTCTTTCTCAAATGTTTCTATTGTATGATCGCACAGCGCCTCCAGATCCTCCAGCCCCCGCTTGAGCAGATCTATCGCACGCTCTCGATGCGACTGTATGCGGAAATGTAGCTTCTGCTCGGTGGGATGTGGTATCGTATAGCCGCAGAAATCGACCTCCGGATAGCGAGCTATAATTGTTTTCAGTGCATTGCCTAGCGTGTGGCCCTCGTTAATAAAAACAAATGTGCGGGAGCCATCGCCATTTTTCTCATCACCGGCAAGCTAAGACACGCAGACTTTAATTTAGTTTCTAATTTTCATTCAGTTTATTATTTCAGTAAATACCTCTGCTAATGCGCCCATTGTGCAATAAATTCAACAGTTTCTCTAAACAGATTGTTTTCATCAAAAACGTGTGCAGTACTTATCGGAGCTTCTGCAGCCATGGCAACCCTGTGCTGTGGCTATCGATAAGAAATATGTTGCTGGCTGTCGATGTCTTGCAACACTCGTGTTCTTCTTGCACAGACAGCGAGAACACGCTCGAAATTTAGTCATTGCGAATTTAAAAACACAACAATGTTATTATTTTGTAATTAGTGCAATCGTTATTTAGGACGCAACAACGATACGGTTATACATTTTTAGTGTAATTCAAAGCCTGTAACTGAAAAAAAAAGAAACATAAATTGGCAAACCTAACAGAAACACAAGCAGCAGCATAAGCATATTGCAAACATTAAAACGCCGCGAGTGTGTTTGTATTTGTGTTTGTGCAAGTGCATACATGTGGCTATGCGTACGTGTGTGCGCCTGTGTTTGAAATCAACAAAAAGTCGTATACAGCAGAAAAGGCGGCAAAAGAAACACAACGGCGACTGCACATGATATGCAAAGCGAGGCGGCAAAAAAAAAATGCAACTGCAAACATAATTATTTTGTGCAATGCATTTAACGTGAACGTCGTGAACGTCTTATTGCTCCAAAAGAAAACAAAAAAAAAAAAAAGCACCGACATTTCGAACGAGCACAAGACTTTTTTGCAGCACTTCGCTTAGTGCGTCAATGCAGACAGGAATAAAGAAAGAAACGGCGAAAATAAACTGCAGTGAGGCAACAATAACAACAAGCACAACAGCAGAAACGCCGAATGGAATACAGGTTTGTGCAAAAGCAGCAAATAAATCAAATAAGAAAAAAAAAACTTCAAATCAGCTCTTTGTGTACATAAGTGCACCTAAAGTATATTTTTATTGAAAATATATTTACCAAAAACGTGTCATTTTTTATGAATTTCTTTTTGTTGTGATTACCACGCCTCCCCTCGTTGTAGTGTATGTACCAAGCATCAGTGTGTGAGTCTGTGCTTGCTATACATACATCACACAGACACACTAAATTTGAAATTATGCAAATTCATGCACATAGCCAGCCGTTGCGCTGCTGACGCCGAGCGTGCGCAAAGGCGGAAGCGTATGCTAGAAGACCAGTTCGCGCTGCCAGCGTTCAATTCTGTTATTCTTTTTTATTCGCTGTTATTTCAATACATACGCTCCTAAACATAATAAGTGTTGTACATAAAAGATTGTATATTTTATGTACATATATTATTAGTTTAATAGTTGCTAGGTCGTTCGGTTCTCCAACCTATTTCATATATATTTTATTTTTATTTTTATTTATACATACATGTTCTGCCAGAAAATAATGCCCTGCGACTCATTCGTTTAGTGGTGGTGGCGGTGGCAGCAGCGCCGTCAGCGTCGTCGTCATCGTTGCTCACATCTGTTGTTTGTTAAAGCAGCCTGTCTTTGACTGCTCGCTCGCCTGTCTCTTTGCTTGGTGGTGACTAATGCAAAACCATGTTCCGTTATCTCAAAACGTTTCTCACGTCCCGGTGTCCAATCCAGATCCACACCCACACATACACAAACGCACACAGCTGAAGCGTGTGTTGTAATAGCGGAGTTTTAAATGAGTGAATGTGTGAGTGTCATTGGCTGGCGCCGTTTCATGTTTCACTCAATGTAATGCGTTCCTCTTACATATACAAACATATTTGCAATTTGGTCTAGTTGCGTTTCGTTCTCTACTCGTTCCCCCCATTGTGTGAACCCTTTGGAAGTGCATTTGCATGTATACATACATACATACAATACACATGAATAGCATGTGTACAGTGGTGTGTGCGTATTAGTGCTCTTAAGTTCATTACAGCAGCTGCTATATTCATGCTCATCAGCATATGGCATTTTTGTTTGATCGAGTTATGTGGATCAATTTCTTTATACAGAGATGTTAATATGACTCAAAGGGAAATGCAGTATGTCCATATTGTTTATTAGACATACTTCCGAATTTATATTCATATACAGGGAAATTTATAAGCTGCACCGTTAGACTCTTCTTAAATAGAAAGAGATATTTGATAATAAACAGCATCTAGAGTAGTGATTACACAGAAAAATATCAACTAATCGGACCTTAAATGTAGTTCGATCCTCCGTTCGCTAATTTTGTTTTCGATTTCCTGCTGTAAATATTGAGAGGAATATGCGAAACAATGAGAATGAAATGCTGTCTCGTTTTGCCATACATGCATATAAATACGTATAAGTATGTATGTAAGAACGTAAACATATTTGTGTCTGGCCGGGTCACAGGCTTTTTGCCAGCATCGTTTGCTTGCTGGCTGTCTGGCTGTCAAGGGAACAACGACGACCGCGGCAGACCATGAAAACTAAAAACCCTGTCCGGGCGTCGTCAACACAGACAAGGCAATGGCACATACCACGGCAACATCCTGTGCAGCAACCACGAAATAACAAAAAAAAAACACACAGCCATAAAGCAAAGAGAAGAAAAAACCTGTCATCTGCTGGCTGGCGTTCCCTTGCCGCTTACAAGTTTGGATTCGCCCAGACTGCCCAGCCGCCTGCATCCGATACAGCTTCGACGATATGGATATAAAAATATGTACACAAGTGTGTATGTATGTGTATATGTGTACCTATGGCGAAAACAAACACGAAGAGGACATTGAACGCCATCGTTCGTTCGTCCATCGTGAGAGCTACAGACAGGAGGCGGCGGTGGCATTTTTAGAATTCCAAAAATCAACAAAACAAAAAGCAAATGTAGAGAGCAGAGAACAGAAATAACAAGAAAAACAATGACAATTCAAACAGGGCCAGTGCTAGGGAACGTCTGGCAGCACTGCAACGTCCAGTTTTTGTTTCCAATTTTGTTTTTGAAGCTGCATAAGTGATCGACTTGATGCACGCTGAACATCGATATATTCATTAGGTATACACGTTAAGTGTCTGCTTACTTCACTATTACGAGTCCTTAGTACCAGGGCTGCACAATGAGCAAGCATAATCTGCCTAAATGATATTTCCAGATCCCAACGTACTATCGATAAAAATGTACATTTCATTAACTTGGATATGCAGGCTTACTGCACGTGCACATGGTTCGCCATTAATCCTCGTGACTAGGGCTGACCAATAAGTAAGCATAATTTGTAGAAACGATATTGCCAGATCACAATGTTTTATCGATAAAAAGGTAGATTGTGTTAACTGTCTATCGAGTCTGTTTCTTGCAAATCATAGCTCATTTTGCATGGATATATTAAAACTTTGTGCTTTAATGTTTAACTACGTAGAAGAGCCTTGTGTATAAGCTGTGAGTACATAAAATAGAGTATATATGTATATTTACTTATAAACACCCATATATGTATATATCTTGGCTACCCCAGCGGCAATGTCCTGTGCAAAACAGCATACAGCGTGCACATGTATACATATATACAGCGTGTGTATGTGTGTGTGTGTGCAGTTTCATTTCGTTTTCGTTTCATTTTTTGCCATCGCCTGTTTCTGCTTCCTTCTTTTATTGTTTTACTTTTACAGCTGCCACTTTTTCAACTTGCATTTTTGCCCCTCTCGTTTATTTATCCTCCTGCTCCTGCTGTTGCTGTGCGGCTGCCTTTGTTGTTGTTGCTTTGTGTTTTTGGCAAGGGTGGAATACACAGCGCTCGACGCTTCATCGCAGCCGTCGCACAAAACAAAAATTTATAACATTCGTACGTCTGGCTTTGATCCTTTTGGGTTTGCTTTTATTATTTTCATTTATTCATTTTGTTTTTTTTTTTTCTTCCTTCATGGCTCAGACGTCTGTCTGGCCACCACCATCAACAGCGCCACCCCTAGTTGAGCATTAGAGGGAGAAAGTGTCTTGCAAATAAATAAATAGTCATGTCAGCCATAATATTAATGCCCCAAAATAGATGGAAGGTGGTGTGCAGAGAGCTTACGTTTGGGGGCGACGGACAGACAGACGACGGCGTTGCTAATCAACCCTCTGGGGCGCTGTTTGCACGACAGCAACAGCAAAGCAGCAACAACAAGTTGAAGATGAAGAAGAACAAGCAGCAGCAGCAGGAGAAGAACCAACTGCAGCCTCCCCCAAAATATATATCGCAAGTCGGCTTGTGCGTGGGGTCAATAAACTTTCGCGCCACCGTCTTTCGCCGTGTGCGTGCGTGCGTGTGTTTGTGTGTGTGTATGAGAGAGACACAGCACATGCTCTGGACCATTCCAGACAGAAACATACCAAAAAAGCAGAGAATTGAAAACCGGGTAGCGGCTTCCTTTTCGCTAGTCACCCTCGACGTTTGGCGTGCAGCACGTTCTACGCATTTTTGTGCATTGACCCCAAGCGACGCACTGCCCTATGCCACCCCCACCTCCCACTCACCCACACATACACATATACAATGGCAACCCTCGTTGATTTGATTTTCATATGGCTAAGTAGGGGGAGTCGGAACAGTTGGAGCAGCTCTCTAAACCATATGAATTTCGCTTGATTGTGCTTTTATGTTTCTATATACATACATACATGTGTATATGTATATATGCATGTGTATATGTCTCCATATACGGTCATATAATAAAATATGCATGCACCTTCGATTACACCTTTATGATGTCATAAAGGCAAGACGGCTTTAATTGCACAGTGGTACAATATATATATATATATATATATAAAATATATACATACATGTTCATATGTATGTGTATATAGAATGCCTATATAATACCTTTTATGGGCACTTGGCTAAATGGCTGGGCGATGGGCGTGGTTAGATATTGTAATGCCAAGACTAGCCGGACGGACAGATAGACATACGGGCATTTCCTGTTTTTGGTCTTGACAGCAAATGGTATTTAGCTTCACACCGAACGATTTGCCATGTAATTTCCTCAACTCTGCAACAACAACGAATAACGAACAACAACAACAGGAACAGCTCTACTCAGACAAAGGCCGCAATCAGAACATCATCATTAAAGGTCATTTTGGTAGGGAAGTTTTAGGGGTAGTTTACAGTTTCAACTTCCTTGGGAAACAGCAGGGGTTTCAAGTTATGCGAAATTTCACGCTTTACTCTCTCACTCTCTATGTCTCTCTCGCTTGATGTGTTGTCCAATATGTAAATGCGATATAGCCGAGAAAGTGGCATTACAGGGCGGTTGTGTCCTGTAAATCTAGATCTTTATGCTTCACAATGTGTATATGAGAAACTTTGATGGGCCCGAAGGGTTCGTGGGAAATTGTAATGTATTTTTGTTTGCTTATCCCAGAGGGGAGGAGAGGCAGTGGTGGAAGGAGCGGCAAGGGTTCGAACAGGTTGCCAAACCCCTCGAATACTTGAGACAAAGTCTAGTGCGGCGGATATATATTATCATATGCATATAAAGTAAGTTTCCAGAGGAAAAAAAAGCAAAAGAATACCTTAAATTTCTATTCAACTTGATGTTTGGATTGAAATTACAAATTTAAGGTTAAACACGAGGTAGAGAAGGCAAATTAAAGCTATTATTAAATAAATTGAGCTGCTGCCTGGGACACTTTAATATTTATTTGCCTAAGGCTGATATGTATCTGTAATTGGTGAAATAATAATCAATAAGATGATGAGTCAAATTTGAAAGCTTAAAGACTCATTTGAAATAGACTAAGGATATGCATACCATATCGACGCAATTACAATATATACTATCTTTTATTTCGGATTACAAATTCAAGATCAATTTCCATCAGCCTAGTCTAATCGTCTTTCTAAAACTGTGCTTGAAGCGTCTATGCTAATACTGTTGAGACATCCATTTTAGGGCGGCTTACATTGTGTCGTGAAACGTGTAACGCATAAAAATACTATTTCCGAACACGTTATATACATAAAGTCGTAAAGCACCATGAACCGAGTATAATATATAAGTTCGTCTGCTTGTTTCTATGCAATCGAATCGCTCAGTTCTAGAGCTATCGTTTATATTAGAGCTATTATTTATATTAGCTATACATATTCATAAGTTTAAAAGTGTTCACTATCTTACTAATATATAACTATTATATAACTCTCTTTAAATACAATACCTAAAAGAGCATTCAATCGTCGTTAAACATACGCTTTGTTCCCTTTCTTTTCTTGGATCAGTCTGAGCATGTGATTCAAGGCTCCACATCTTCCGACACAGCTACAAATGCATGCAACATGTGTGTACGTATGTGTGTACGATTTACATACATATGTATCACTCCCTCTCTGTCTTGCTGTAGTGTTCTTATTCTTAGCTTGGCGCTCTTGTTTGTCTGGTTTAAGCGCACAAAAAGTTCACACGCTGCTGTTGTCATGTGATTGTTGCAGTTGTTCTTCTTGTTGTTGTTGCTGTTGTTGGGGCTCTGGTTGTTGCGGTCTTGGCAAATCAAACAATAACATTATGCAGCTCGATTGTGCATCAGATCCTAAGAATTACAAATTTCTAAGTCTGTTTGCCATATTGAAACAAGTCACACGCTAAAGAAAATATATAAAAATAAATATATACACATATATGTATATACATATGTATGTATATGTATGCATAAGTATATATATTATCAGAGTTTTGTTTTCTAGTTTGCTAGAAATTCGTTTCGCTGATAAAAACAAAGCACAGAGCCCAACTCAAATAATATAATATAATATACATCATACATATGTATGTACATATATATACACGTAACTGTGTGTGTACCATTTTCTTTCTGTCGAGCTTTTTGGATTGTTGTGTGGCGGCGGCTGCTGCTGCTGCTGCTGTTGTTGTTGCTGCTTCCGCTTGTTGTTGCTTAGAAATAGAAATGATTTCACAATTCGCTTTACCATCAAAAACTGATCACCGCAACGTGTGTAGCAACCCTCGCGCCTCCGGCCCCCTCTCCTGCTGTCCGCTCAGGCTCCATTCTCGGACCGAAAAAAGCAATAGAAAGAAACACGTTTTTTTTTTTTTTGTCCAGCCTGAATTGCTGATTTCATATTAGATATATTCATTCTTGTTGCTGTGCTTATTATGTATTCTTTTGCAGCCACAAGCAAAACACAAAAAGAACAACAACAAATTGTGGTCTGATGATTCAGCGGCCCAAAGTGAATGTACCCAGCAAAGAAAAAAAAAAGTGGCAACGCATTTTCGGCTAGCTAAGCTGTAAAATGTCACGCTGTTAAATAATATTAAGCTGATTTTATTGCTGTATGCAAAGCACTAAACAGAAATTTGTAATTGTAGCAAAAGAGCAAGAGGGACAGATAGAGAGGGCAGCCAAGCAAAGCTGAGCGCGCTTGAAGAGCATGGCAATAAAAGGAAGCGGCTGCCTCTCCGCAAAAGCGTCTATTCGTCTGTCTTTTGCGCTACCTTCTTGTTTGTGTGCGAGTGTCGGTGTGTCTATGCGTGCGTGTGTGTGCGTGCGCT